TTTTCAAAATTATTGGATATATGCCTATGTATTTTCTATAAACTTGTTCTCTCTGTATAGCGTTGACAGGTCATAGCTTAGTGGATCCCTAGGTTATTCCGCTTTGGAGATGATTTATATATCCAAGAATATTCGTTATTTTTGTTTCTTTTAAACTTTTCTTTTTGTTTTAATATTGGATACTGATTTTTCTTCCTCTTTTCCTTGCTTCAGTTTTTTAGATCATGTCTGCCAACAATACTTCTTGTCGTTCTGGTCATCGTGGTGGTTGGATTAACCGTCGTAGTGATCGTGTCTTTTTTCCTTCTTCCCATACAAGTTTTATGGCTACCATTCGTTGTCCCTTTCGTGTACCTCAAGTGGCTTCTTCTGTTGTTTCTTCAGCTTCTGCTCCTATTCCTGATCCTATTGAAAGCCCTGCTCCTGCTCCTGTTAAATCCCATGCTCCCTCTTCCTGTGACCGGTGTGTCTTTTTAGAACAAGAGTTGAATACTCAGCAAAAAACTTTGAATAATTTGAATGAATCTAATAGAAATATTAGGCATCAATTGGCTGGGTTAAGTTTTTATAGAAGAAATAGACCTTTGGGAAGAAATATTCATCGGTTTATTCAAAAGTATAGATATTTGGCAAGGTTAACACAAGGATATAGGATAGTGTTAAGAAATGAACATTATTCTAATAGATGTCATAAAAGTATATGTTTTTGATAAATTGTAAAAGATATAAAAATTATAAAATTATAAAAATAAAAATAAATGTTTAAGTATAAAATAAGTTGAAAGAATAATATTAATCACTTTGATAATTTCATAAAATGCTATAGCCTCAAACATCATCCTGCTACAATTTTGCGCTTCATGACTGACCAGCCTTTAACCAGCATATGCTATGGATTCCTAAGAATCAAGGTCGTCTACGGCTATGTAATGGCTTTATGAAATTACCCAAGCAAATAATAATATTTTCTCAAGTCTTAAAAATAAAGAAATAAAATGATATATGTGTCACTAAATACTAATAGAGTGTGGGGATAATCAAAGGAATAATGAAGGAATTATAAAAAAGATAAGGGTAATAAAAGGTGTTAAGGGAATTCTTTACTTTTATCTTTTATTTTTTTTTTTTATAAAGGGATGGGGATTAACACGATTCTATAATAATGGGGTAAGATTTACGGAAGGCATGTATGTTATCAAGGTAGATAAATGCTAATGGAAGTTTGTCGGTGTATGCTTAACCATGTCTTGTTTTTTTGTAGGTCTATGCCGTTGCGTCATGATTTCTCGGGAAGGGGGCGTGCAATCACGATCATAATCGTGATCATGATTATGATGGCATTCTGGCATTTGGTCTTCGGGGGCTGTTGTAAGTATTCTCTTGTCCCTACCGTCATCGTCATCTTCATGATGATGGTGACCGTATTTTCCATCTTGGTCGTTATTTCTCCAGCTTCACGCTCTAAGTCACGTGACTTACGGAATCCCGGTGGTGATCGCGGTGGTTCAGTATATGGCGAAAGTCCGAAATTCATTGATCTCGATGCATTATTTGCTTTACCCAGAAATTCCTTATTTTAACTCGCTATAAATGAAGGTTTGCGAAAGGGACATTCAGTCGACTGAACTAGTGGGCGATATCGGTGTCATCGGCGTTGAAGGGGTGTAATTCTTGAGTTCCTTGTTTTGGGATTCAGCAAGTCTAAGGTAGAGCTCGTTAATTTTCGACAAATGTTCCTGATATCTACTCTTCATATCATTAAGGTCGTTTACTGTTATATCGTGATTTTTGTAATTCTGATAATCTAGCTTCCAAGGTTTCGAATTGTTATTCTTCGGGGAGGCAGGAAGCGTGCGATCGTGATCGTAATCATGATTGTGATCACAATTATAACAGCATCCCGGAATTATTCCTCTTTGGGCCAGCGTCTTATCAAAGGTAAGTGGTTTCTTTGCGTACGTGGTTGCTTCTGGTTTCGGCGTTGTCTCACTTTCATTCCTTTTTTTCGGTGTTATCATCTTCTTCATAATGGTGGTGGCGTTCACAATTTCCTGTACGCAATCGTGATCATGATTGTGATCATGATTATGACAGCATTCCAGCATTTGATCTTTGGGGCTGTCATCTTCAGAAGGTGAGTTAAGCTTTTCATCGTATTTCGGCTTTTGTGTATGGTTAGTTCTTTCTCTAACCATTTTTTTTCTTTCCGCGTCGGTGCCTTCTTCGCGATCTTGTCCTGGTATTTCCAATCGTCGGGATGGTATATCTCTCATCGATCGTCTATTACGGTGGGGGCTTGTCAGAGCATTAGACTTTCCTTGCTGCTCTGACATCTTTGAGAATATATATGCATGCATATATATTCTAGGTGTGCTTATCGTTTGCAGACTTCGTATGATAAACTTTTTCTTCGCGATCGTGATCGTGATCACGATCAGGATGGCACTTCGACATTTCCAATCATCGGTCTTGGTGTAATTCTGATAAGTTGCGACGTTTTCTTTCTTTTGCGACGTTCTACCGTTGGCTTCTAACTTTTTCTTACCAGTCTTTCCCTAGCTCCATGCTTCACGTTCGATTCGCCATCCACGGGTTCTCTTTGACCCTTGGCGATATCCATCGTCCTTGGCATGAGCTACCGGAGTCTCGTCGGTAAGTTTCGGTTCTTTTTGCCTTCTGGTTTCTTCGCCGTTCTTTTCTTTTTACTGGATGGTTCTTTCTTTCCTTTAGGCACTCGTCCCTTGCTTCTTTCGGTGCCGTGGTGTTTCTTCGTGATCGTCGGTATCCCGGTATGACCTTCGGGACCGACGACTTGTTCCAGGTCAGTATTTTATTCTTTGTTTTCTTTTTGTTCAATACGTTGTAATTTTCTTTTGTATTTACAAACGTAAATATCGGTCGACGAAAGTCTACATAATCGTCGGATATCTTTCATTTCCTGACTTTTTCTTAGTTTCTTCGCCAGCCGGTGACGTTCGTTTGTACTGATTTCGCCGGAAGCTTGAGGTGAGGTCTTTGAAGAACTTGCAACCGTCGGCGTCATCCTTTCTCCACCGTTCTAGGTTATGGCTCCGGCATTTCTCTATACCGTCCAGCATCCTTCGGGACTGGAGTCATATGGCCGGTAGGTCTTTTCTTTGGTTTATTTGTTTCTCTTCTTTGGGCGTCATTCATATATTCATTATTTTTTCATTAATTTAATTTAATTTTTTTTTTTTTTTAGGAGGAGGCGCATATACCGCCGATCCCGTGATTATCATTTCTAAGGCTTCGCTTTTCTTCTGCGCAAGCCATTCCGGAGCTTATACCGTTGGTTTGGGACTTCTTTTAGGTCGGGACGATGCTTCTTCCTCTATTCGGCATATACCAGCAGCCGAATTCTTCGTAGATAACATCGTTGGAGCGGAATTGGTCTTTTGTTTCTTGGATCGTCGCGGACACAACGTCGCTTCCGTCGCTCCTATGAAGATCGAACTTCCTCGGGGGCAATTTCTCAGGGGTGGCAATCAAAGAGCGTTCCATTTTTGGATCCTGATTTTCGAATTGCGTCTAACGGATGAGGCGCATCTCACAGTCACCACCAATTTGTCATATATCTTCCTACCTCAGGAGAAAGATATGGACGGAGAACTAATAGCAGGG